TTGAGGCAGGTCCCACCGAGAAAGGTTCACATCCCCGGAAGACAATTCCTCATTACAGACACACCGGGCTGAATGGAAGTATCCTCTGCCACGAGGGTTCAGCCTCCCATTCAACTCGATGTAATCCGGATTCATTAACTTCAATCCCTCCCTGATACCCAAAGGCATGCTAACATGGTTAACTGGTGGATGACGCTTTATGTCGGTGTTCCATCAATGGAACCCTGATACGACGCAGAATTTAGATAAGATTTGAAGCCCTTACCCAGTCTGCACGATATGCATTGCTTGGAAGCTGATGCTTCATGCAAATGTTGAGAATCGAGTGAAGTTATCCGACAGACATGCTCTCATCAGAAGAGTCATTTCTCTGCAAACATGCTGCCGGAAAAATTATGCCACAAGCGAATGCGAAGGGAAAAGGATTCCGTGACAGCGCTAGCTCCAATTATTGCTTTCTTGTTTTCTATCATTGGCCCACCAGTTCAAAAAATACGTGTTTTTCTCTTCTACATAACATAAGTTTCTTTGGAAGTAAAAAAATATTCCCCGAAACTTTTAAATAATCAGCTGGGAAAACATAAAAATGAAAAGGTTAAGATATTATATTCCCTCTTGAAAGATGATTATATCATTTGTTTGCTCATAAAATAAGGCTTTTTTCATCACATTATTACGAATGAATTTCACTGGTGCCATAAAAAATTTATTTCCACCAACTTTATTTGAAAGAAATGTGGTAATCATGAAACTCACATGTCAATGCCAACAATTGCATCAATGAATTCACCATAGCATGAAATAAATATTGTGACTCCACTTGAATGAAAAGCGAATGTCTCATTTGTATGGGGGGGGGGGGGGGAAACCATAGGAAAGGAAACAACAGTAGAAATTTAAAATACTTGTGAACAAAAATATTCGAAAATCAGAATAGAATATTTACACTTTCGCCAAGTCATTATCCGCCAGCGCAACTAAGGAGTAGATTGTTGAGTCAAGTTCTTCGAATCGCCATGAGGTTCATTGGCTGGACGTCGACATACGGGACAGTTAGGATTGCCGTCTCGTAACCACTTGTGAATGCAATCCCAGTGATAATTGTGAGAGCAAGGAAGCCTACATAGGAACTCTCCGATGGAATGACATTCCAGGCAAATGGGACATTTATGACCGAAATAATCATCTGAAACTTCGCGACACTTCCACACTGGGAGATCGTCGATGTAATCCAAACTAGCCAAGCGTTGCAAGCGTTGCCATAAGCTCAGTACTGACAACGTACCAATGGGCAATTCTTGTCTCAGCCTGATGGTACCATGGCAACGAATGCTCGAGTGAGAGTTGGCAGCCCTTCTCCTTCGAAGCTGGACATTCCTTCTCCCCTGACGAAGGGGAGGAATATTCCGCTGCTCCCTTGTCGATACGAGAAAGGGTCTGATTCTCTTCCATTCTTTCTCCTTTTGAGAGGAGGAATCGATCACTATGAAGTACAATGAGATTGCGACAGCTGCGAGGCAGTAAAGAACTGATGAGATTATCATATATATTTGCCGGTACTGCAGCCAGAAGATTTCGTCTCGGATTGTACTTGCAATATACGTTGTCAGCAGGTAACGGACTGCATTGGCAAATTTATCCCATAGGAATGCAAATGGGTAAAAGTTAATCAGTCTTGATGTCAGCTTCCAAATAATACAGATGAATAGATTTCCAACAAAACAGTTCCAAAACAACAAGGAGACGCTACGAAATATCATTGAATCCAACAAATTATGCAGATTTACAAACATCACAATGAAGAAGAAAATGTCATTCATTTCAGGCGTCGAAGTCCTAAGAAATGTTTGCAAATGCTTGAACATGAGTGACTCCCCCCTACTTGAACCATACACATATTGGCCTCCAGGAGTAACAACAATATACGATGGGATCTGAATGTCCTGCCAATTTCCAGATAACGTCTCTCTTTCCGTCTCTTCGTGAAATTTAAAGTCACCAAATTGAATTCTCCCCGTGAATTTGACTCTCACCATCGCCAAGAATAGAGGAACCACCTCGGTATTCGTGAAGAACACCACACAAAGAGGCCCGCTGTGTGCTTGCTTTGAGGAATTCAGCCAGTCAATTTCTAGCTCATCTTGCGTCTCGATGTTAGGCACGCAATTCTTCAACTGCTCCTGGACCAGAGTTCGGACAAGCATTCAGGCAGTTCTAAGATATGGCGATTGCAAGCTTAAGGCTAAAGCCTCGAAGTTAATTGGAAAAAAAGAGTTGTTTTGTGATGCACACATTGAAATTATCTGGATATGAAAAGTTGCATACCAACATTTTGCCACATAGGCTTTCAATTCCCTCAATTCCTTTCAATTCCCTCAAACGGACCTAATCTGTTCATGAGGCTGCCGTCTTTTTCTCAAATTCTCTGTCGATATGGGTTTTACGGTGGTATCTAATGCTGATATAAATGGCAATATTTAAACTCTAATTATTTGTGAAAATGCCACTTTAATTTGAGCAAACGATGTAAATTCTTTCACACGGATCAGCGAAAATTTGTATTCAATTCTTCAGCTTCGACTTGTGATTGCCGAAAGCCTCACAAATCACCCAATGCCTCAGCATAATGCCTTCGGTGAAGCTGAAGAAATAAGTCACAGTACAAACGAAATGTGAAATTCGCATGGTCACTGACCAAAGTTGAGTTAAAAGTTGAGATGGTAAAGAGGGGTACCTCATGATCATTTGAAAGAGGAACTCCTGAAACATGGTATGGCAAGGGTGATATGACCCCCAAGTACTACCCTGCAGATAACAATACATAATTGAAATTTCCGGTATTTCCATTCTTCATTGTAAATTTGTTTTCCCTCTGTGTAAGTCAGATCTTAGAGACGTGGAAGTTTTCAACCATTTACTAACTTTCAGTCGCTATAAAACAAGCATATAAAAGCAAATTCAAACTCAAAATGAAGTCTCTTACAAGTTATAACTTGACCCAGGTGGAGCTGAACCCATCGATGCATGCAGTTGCATTTTCCTCTAACTCTCCCCATAGCACCATCGAACTCTTATGTTACTGCAGCCTTGTCCAAACTCTAATCCCCTATCAATCCCAAAATTAAAAAAATGCAAAAGGGAATCTGACCAACAATCGAGGAGGGAAGGAAATGAACGATCAGGACAAACACGAAGTCGACTCACGCTTGGTTTGATGTTGACACCAAGAACCACTTGGTTTTCCCAGTCTTTTGGTGATGCGAGGAGCAGGAGTGGTCTATCCCAGGTCTTTCGCTTGCAAACGCTGAAAGGACAAGAAAAAAACGACGACGAGCACATCAGAAAACCATGCAGGAAAAACATCTCTGCAGAGGCTTAGCTGCACATGATGAAAGAGCTCACTCCTGAAAGATGCTGCAATAACTGACACCCAACCGAACCCCGAATGTCGACCCAATCCTGATTCTTTCCTGCCACAAGGAGACCTCGTGCCACAAGGAGAACTCATCACTTCGCGCTGGGACAGAAAGCTGGATCCAGACACTATTCGTTTCCTCGACTTCCCCGCTGAAGTCGGTCGATCTTGCGAATGTGAAGACCGACTCGTTGGTGCGCTGATGTTCTTCCCAAAGTTCGCCTGCTGTTACATTTCCTGTAAAGAGTCAAGAAGTCACGAACCATATGCATGTTAACATCGCATTTTCGACTGATTCTATCCATTGTTCTCCTTGTACATCTGTCTAGGTAAACGGACCGATTTTTCTTGTTTTCAATGAAATGGAGGTCAATACGTCCTTCTATTCCCTTTTGTTGGCTCTCCTTTCACCTTCCATGTCATTTAACCGATCATTTATAACTAACATTTAACGATAATTCAAGTATTTTTTCGATTACGACTCAAGTCGCACCAACAACCGCGAACATCGACCATGGAAATCAAACGCTCACCGATGCTTCCCACCAACATCACCAAGCCCCGCTCCCCGATCTCTCTGCCTCCATGCAATCCCTCCACCAGCCTCTCCATCCCCCGAGCGCCCAACGTCGCTGGATCGGACGACGGACTCGCGACCCTTCCGGACGCGCACCGGTCAACGAGGTCGAGCACGTTCGAGATTTCCAGCAGGAGGATCGCGTATCCCAGCAGGAGGATCGGTCTCTGACGCAAGCTGCGTCTTCTCCCGGAGTTCTTTGCCGGTTGGGTTGCCATGGCAGCGGCCCTATTGGGAACGAAGAAACCGATTACTCGGGGGGCAGACAGCACAGTAAAGATGGAATCTGCAATCGGAAAATGCGCCAATTTCAGAAGTGAGGAGGACTGCTCATAAAACAGCTGAATTTTAAATCCTGAATGGACACCGATCTCATTCAGGGCGGGACATCCGCGTTTATTTCGAGTCTTAGGTGTTCTTTTTTTTTCCCCCGACATGAATAAGTCTAAGAAGACATGAGATCTTCAGGCGAAGATACTGATAGTAGTTTTGTGCAGAAATTCAGTTGATGGTAGATTTAAGGAGAAATATGGAGTACTAAGAGGGTTTTCTTGTTTTTTTTTTTTTTTTTGGGGGGGGGGAGAAAGAAAAAGAGGGCGTGTTACCCATGTACATGCGTGGAAGCTGAATTCAGCATACAATACAATCCCCTAATTGCCTCGCCAGCTACTAGCTTGTCCTTTGGAACCCTCGGTTTCAAATCGTAGTCAGACCTACTGATGTCATCAGTTTCCACATTTTATGATTTTGCCGGGGCTTTCTCCACTTTCTTTTTATTTTAAATATCTCAACCAGAATTATACAGTAAATGGTCCATGATTTTATGGTCAATGGCCATATATCATTGAAAACCAGTTTGAGATGTAAGAGTCCTTTCATTGGTCCATTCTCGTCACGTTCATAAAGTCAAATATCAGATTTCTAAAGCACAAGGGGCTTGGCAACAATATAAGAGGGAAATCAGATGAGGGTCCAATATGATCAATTCATTTCAATAAAATCCTCAAGTTCAGGCTAGAAAATATATGTATTCTATGAAGAGCAGATCATCGCATTTCACTATAAGCACCTTTCTAAGAACATATAAAAAAAAGAAACTTTGGATGATAACAAACAAAAGCGCTAGCAAGTGCAACCAAAGCTCATATAAAACAAAAATAGTAAAAATTTGTGGCCGACGAATTGCACCAAGATGTCTCACAGACTAGACACAGTGGGGTTAGATGTATTGCACAAATGGGTGAGATTCTCCCAGAGCGAAATGCAGATGATAAACCTATTTCTGGACACTAAAAGAAATGCTTGAAGGCCAGGAAGCTCATCTAATCCATGCGGGCCAAGATGAATCCAGTTCGACATGGGAGGTAAACCTGGAATGCACATCACAAGTATAAACAGTAAGCATGCATCTGGAAAATACCATTTAAAAATGTCTGGGTCCTGAGTGAACTCACCATCAAAGAGTATCGTCTTCCATTATGCCCCTCATTAAAAGTGAAATAATCAGTGTTGTGATCCAGGCGTCCCAGACCTCCAAATTCCTTGTCGTCAGAGTCAAGGATGATTCGATATTTGCCCGATTCCCAGACTCCAATGCGGTAGTCAGGGAAGCTCTTGTTTGGGTGGAAGTTGAAGCAGAAAATAAGCCCACCTCGTTCAAATACAATCGTCTTGTCATCTTGATGTTTGCAACTCACATATGCCTAAGATAGACAGAATTGGGGTAATTTTTAATAGGCTCCTCTTACTCCTAGATCAATAAATTCTTAAGTCAATGCATAAGTGACAACTGTACACTCAACACATCAACATATATAAGCTTTCTTTTGCAAGAGTGAGGTGGCAATCCTAACAAATCAAGAATACAATGGAATTGAGAGCTGCTTCTGTGCACATCATGGATCCCACCAACATTTTCTAATGGAATGGGCATCAACTTGCAAGTTCTGAATCTCATGATTCACAAACCTAAGAAAGAATGCACTTTCACATCATAACACTATCCACTATTCCAGTTATGGAATACTTATGCTTTAATTTCTTTCAAACTGGAAAATTTCATAATGCACAAAACTGAAGATGTAACTGTCCCAACTGGAGATGTAAACAATTTTATTTTCTGTGGATAGAAAAGGAAATGATTTTCAGAAAGTTGACTGTTTTGTGGGACCTGAACTAGTATTCATGTGATAACTTTTATGTTTTGCTTATTCCCCATCTGCTTGTCACTGCAGTGCTGAAGTTAGATTGCAAGTTTTTCAGGATTGTCAATTCTACACAACAGCATTATTCTGATCAATTGTTGTATGCCTCAATATAACTTCAACACATGCAATTATTTTGGAAACCACTTTCAATGAGCTCATGCCTCTGGGCAAAAATCTGGATACCTGATGAGCATGAAGCCAACCATACTTCTCCTCCAGGTTGTTCATAGCAGCATCAAACCTGTTCAAATACTTGTATTTGAGCAACTCATCATCAGCCAAGTGGAACTGCCTCCGGGCATAATGGTAGGACTCATTGTTCCCAAGTCGAGGGAAGTCCAGCCATTCTGGGTGCCCAAATTCATTCCCTGAAATATTCACATAATCTGAATCCATGACCATCATTGCACTCAACATAAAGAAATCAGTCATAAGATGTGATAAGCAATATGAAAGCAACTCACAAGCACAAACCTGACACGTAGGTCAGTATATGCAGAGCAATTCCTAGGTGGTCCACAGATCATGACCACAGATTAAATATGTTCTCAAAAAGAATTAAGATATCCTTAAACTGATAGCAGGTTACAACTTTTGGAGAATCTCTGGCTTTGATCCATGAATCACCTGAATATTCAGATGAATGCATTGATGATGAAAGTGCAACTGAATGCTGATAGAATGATTTCAACAGGACATTCTTAACTCTCATCATAGGTTAGTTATCTCATTCCCTTGAAAACATTAAGGTCTCAAACATGGTGCAAATGCAAAAGAAACAACGGGCTCAATAGAACCTTTCATGCATGACAATCTAATTTGTATATAGGGTGTTTAAAAAGCTCCATGCATTTCTATGGGGGATAAATGACACTCACTTCCATTGAATAAAAATAAATCCAGTTAACATTCCAGCCAATTCATAACTTTTTGAGGCATATAAATTTGAGAATAAAGCAGAAATAAGCCAACCTGATTAATTTTTCATTTTGCATTGAGAATCAATAAAATGGGGGATTTACTATTTGATTTTAGATTCATCAAGGAACAAGACTGATTTAAGTCAGATGCAAGTGACTTGAATTTAATGAGATTCAGATGCAAGGGTATAAAGTTGATTTTAAGTATACAATTTTATTTTCTCCTTTAAATGCTGTGCTGAAGGATGGGTGCCATAAAGGGGGTGCCCCCTTTTTGAACTGTGCTATTTGGTGATATATCATTGCTCTACTACTTGTAGAGCAATGATATATCACCATGTACTACATGAAAGAAGGGTGCCTGTTGGTTGTGCAAAAATGAAACATACAAAGTGGGGCAAAAGTTAAGGAGGCAACTTCAGGATTCTTGAAACTCTTTGATCACTACCCTTGATGCTAATAGTCAAAGTATTCATGAACCACAGCAACCACACTTTTCAAAACTGGATGACGTTATTCTTGTATTCTACATGCGTAGAATGTTAAAAATAATAGACCATGATTTCAAAAGAAGAGAATGGTAAGTGGGACAAGGAACGCATTAAAAAGCTACAAATGGTTGGATAGAACTAGAGCAATGACAGCTATTTTCTGCCCAATTGCATCCCCTGATGATACCAGGGTCATTCAATAGAGCAACTCAAGTAGCGAAGAAGTGTCACTGGGATCCAAATTTACTGCAATCCATTCGAGGCAGAAAACTCGGGCAATATAAGTTGGCCAATTTCGACATAAAAGGTGTCAAAACCTACTAAATCGCATCTGTAGAATTGAATTATGACACTTTCAACCATATAACCAACCACATTTTCAGAAACATATCACAGCCAGCTTTGTAAAGAAGAGAAAGGCAATAAACTAAGCTAAAAAAAAACTTAAACATAAGGTAAATTATTGTAAAATCGAGAACATTCTATAAATACAGTAAAACAATTCTAAAATCAACTAAATTAATGAATAAAAAGGTGAAATACTGTAGCAATCTGGTGCATAATACTGCATATTAACATTTGTGTATACACACGATTAAATCATGCTGTGTTTTCCTCATCAGTGCCATCTAGAACCACACACAATCCAGTGATGTAGCAGGTACTGGAATCTTACATAAGTACCTGCCATAACTGAGGTACTGCAGAACTGACAAGTGTGCACAGCACCCAACAGTTTTTAGGGCATTTTTACAATGACAACATCCAGCAATGACCTCAGCACCACTCTTCACCTTATCTACTAAAATGTATACATGGTGTGTAACAGTTGTGGAGCAGAGACCTGATCTGCATGCAGACCAGCACTGGGTCACAAGCAGGAATGCTATGGGGTCTGAGTTGTAAAGGTCCCGTATGCCTGCATACATGGACCTTGTATCTCCCATGAGCCAAACAATGCTTTGCATAGCAAGACACAGTTTTGATGGCCAGTGGTTTATTTATGGGTAGTGACGACAATGATTTGTTATAGAGCTAAATGACTGTCACCATTCAATTCTACAGGTCTGATTTAGTAGGCATCAGCACCTTATGTTGAAATTGGCAAAATTATATTGCCTGATTTTTTCACCTTCTAGTGTAGGGGTCGGCAACCTTTCACTAATTGCAGGCTGGATTGACATAGATCGACCCTATGGTGGGCTAGAGTGTGTAATTGATTGTGGTGCTGATCTGCCTAGAGGAGGAAGTAAGAGGATTTCAAAATAATAATGAAATATAAAGTAAATTTCCTCTTTTCTTGGCATGTTTCACAGGCAGGATGAAATATATTTGCAGGCTGGATCCAGCCCATGGGCTGTAAGTTGCCAACCCCTGCTCTAGTGGATCAGGGCAACCTCAAATCACTGTGTAACCAATAACACTTATGCATTACTTGAGGTGCTCTATTGATCAGTACTGGTTTCATCCTGGGATGTGATTAGGCAAAATCCCATAAGATTTGGCCATCCTCCTTTGCTTTTTAGCATAATTAAAAAATACATCTTTTTTCATGAATCCGAAAAATTCTGGAAACAGAGCTATCAAGTATTTACTTTCAGAAACAAAATTAAGTGTGGGTTGTTAGGATAAGTAAACATATTTTCTGTCAGAAAAAATGAAGACATCCTGGAAAAATCTGACAACTTTTTTCCACAGGACATTGTTGTCCCTCATGTCTTTTTTTCGGATGTGGAAATGAGTTACTTGCCAAACAAATCTTTTTGTTTTCAAGAAAATGAAAGTGAGTTTTTTTTTTAGTGCTTGGGGCTCATGAAATATTAATAGTTCTTTTGTTTTCTAACCAAGGTAATTAATGGTTAAAAATAATTGAGATCCCAAATGGTGCAGCAAACGAGATAGCACTTAAATTTCTTCACTATGTAACATTGAGTGCCTATAACTTTTCATTCAGAACATTAGGGCTAGATGTGAGGAAGATCATATCCTGCCAGAAATGTTTTTCCCCCCATACTTCTAATTGATTTAATACTTGAGGACAAAAATCCATTCTTTAATGAGCACCCATCCTTCATTTTGAACAGTGCACTGCAAAGCCAGAATCCCATCTGAACTATTAGGCAATGCACATGAGGATCTCCTCTTTCTATCAGCATACCTGCTTTTCCTGATGATGTTTCAGGAGCATGAAACTCAAGAAAATTTGGCTTCATGGCTGCTGGAGAGTTCTAAAAAAAAGGAGAATCAATTCAATTGAAATTTTTATTTGAGTTTGACTGGCTTCATTTCCAAAAGATCCAATGCTGATTAATGATTTAGCTCAAAATTACATTGAAATTCATAATTTGATTTTGGATTCATCTTAATTGGAATCTCACAAATGTCCAATTTTGGTATCTCAGAAAAAGAGATTGGAAATAATAGCAATTTCAACAAAATGAAAAGATCCCACAGGAAACATGATGCTGCATCAATTCCCCCATAGGAAGGTAGGAAAACACCCTATATACCCAGGCACAAGGCATGTCTGTCATTGATAACTTAGAATGATCAACGGCATTGTTAGCCTATCGTTTCACTCCATGCATTCAAAGCATAATGAATGGAGGCGACGAAGGTCGAGTTTTCTTTTGCACATCCTCTGGCCCAGCTGACATTGAAAATCCTCAGCAAGGCAAAGGCTGGATGTGCTCAATTTCAAACACCTCAAAATGTATGGGGATTTCAAGCATAGAATCACTTGGCATCTCCCATAAATTGTCACTAGGAAGTGAAAATTAAACTATGATCTTTCTGACTGGCAAGCAATGGCTGATTTCAAAACTGCAGTCTAGATCCAGTTCAGTTCCAGTTGGGGTTTCTTTGAGTAGAAATTGACAAGAGCACAGGGGAACTTCAGTCACACCCAAGTCTGAACTGAAAGAGTCAAACTGCAACTGAACTGCTGTTTTGGACATCAGCCTATGGATGACCCATATTAACTAGTGACAAAAATTTTGTTGTTTCCAAACTTTAAAAATTGTAATTCAGTTATAGTTTTGGTATAATAAAAGTTCTGTACCAAAGGAAAAGTTACCACAGGTGCTCAGAGTACCATTCATCTCCAAGCAGGTATTAAATTACTTAACAAAATTACAATATTTGGCAGCACATCCACTGTGATATTGGCATGTAATTGATATACGTTATCCTTTAGGGCTTCAGCAATTCATGGATGGTCTATGTACATGACACTTTTGAGGACTCATAAAATGAACAAGCCTAGTGGGAAAAGGTCCAGAGAGAGTACAGGGGCCATTCAACCAGACTAAAGTTCACACTATGCAGTCAATCCACATTCTGGGAAATAGCTCATCATTTGGCCAGCCAATGATAAATCTAGTCCAGTATTACAGGATTTATACACCCTGGATAAATACAGAACTGTTTAAGAGATTGCAGCACTGCAAGATAGTAAAGTATCACATTACAAAGAACCATAAATAAACTTATGTTAGTGATTCCAAAGCTTGTCCATGAGCAAGGTACACCAAATTGCAAAAAAAAATAGCTTAAACAAAACCATCTTCAATTTTCATTTGCTTTAACAAATAAAAATCTCTATATAATACTTTCTTAAAGAAAATGTCTCTCTGTACTACTGTTTAGGATACAAGCCTACAAATTTTAAAATAAAAAGTCTTCAAGCATTAACATTTTTTTCATTGCACTAGCATAAGAAAAGTATGAAATTCGAGACTTTTATGATCACCCTGTATATGCAGTAAGTTTCCCACAAGAAATCCTTGAAGCAAGCAAGCTGGTGCAACAAGGGACACAGCTGTTCAGCACCTATCCATCCTTCCCATAGCATGCAGGCATTAACACTTTTACAAAGGATGTAAATGTACATCTAGCCCTAACTACCACCTAATAATGAGACATAATAGTATGTACTTTAAAAACTTTGTGCCTGAATCTGGATATACGAGGGTCACTCGATAAGTTATCTACCTGAATAAGAAAGAAACATCCGAGGGGAAAAATAGCACTTCATTTTTCAATGTAGTCACCTTTTAACTCAACACACTTATTCCACTTTGATTCCAAGGATTTTATTCCCTGGGTATAGAAGTCAACTTCTTGTCCATCAAACCAATCAGAAACGGCAACTTTCAGCTCTTCATTGCATGAAAATCTTTTTCCCCGCAAACATTTTTTCAAGTGTCTGAACAGAAAATAGTCACTAGGAGCCAGATCCGGGCTGTAGGGAGGATGGTTGAGCTCCTGAAAGCCACACTCCCTCACTGCTGCCTCAACTTTCCATGATTTGTGGACGGGCGCGTTGTCATGGAGAAGAAGGACCCCCCTTGACAACTTTCCTCTGCGTTTTTCCTTGATGGCATCATGTAAATTTTTCATGGTGGTAGCATAGGAATCGCCAGTGATTGTACACTTGTCTGGCATGAACTCAAGCAGCAGTAGTCCCTCGCTGTCCCAAAACACAGTGGCCATAATCTTTCCTGCAGATTTCTGAACACGAAATTTGCGAGGCGTTGGCGATCCCTTGTGCTTCCACTGCATGGACTCCTGCTTGGTTTCGGGATCCCAGTGATGAACCCAAGTTTCATCACCAGTTACTATTCTGGGAAAAAAAGTTTCCCCGATTTGTTTAGAAAACTCCAAGTTTTCCTTGCAGATGTCAGATCTGTTCTTCTTCTGAGCTGGAGTCAGCATTCTTGGGACCCATCGAGAACTGACTTTGGACATGTGTAATTTTTCATGAATGATGTGAATCACTGTGCCCTCTGAAATCCCCAGTTCATGAGCTAAAACAGAGACTTTGGTGCGACGATCCTCCAGTATCGCACTCTCCAATTTGTCACACATTTCCTGATCAGAAGCCTCCACAGGGCGCCCCGACCTTGGGTCATCTTCAATCGACTCTCTTCCCCACTTAAACTGCTTGCTCCAAAATTTAACTTGGTAATAAGAAGGCGAAGACACACCATAAACGTTAGACATACGTTCATGAATCTCCTTAGGTGCTTTCCCTTCTTTGGTGAGAAATTTGATCACTGAACGATGTTCAACTTTTGTCAAATCCATGACACAGACTCAGGAAAAGAAATCTAATGCACTACCACTTTGAACGGACTTGAGCCACTGAGCTGGTATAGTGGTGGGGCACTCACGAGACCTGTCGACACATGTCACAGCAGGCACAGGCCTGTTGCTCATCCCTTTCATATTCAGGTAGATAACTTATTGAGTGGCCCTCGTATGTCCTCAGTACCAGCACCTGTAAATTACTGCTTCGAAGTAAGAGAACTGAATCCAGTATTTCCATTTGTTTTCTGGGTTTCTTTTGTATGTCTTTCACAAAATGTCAAGTCTAGTTAAGAAAAAGGAAAGCGAAATGATGGAGTCAAGCACAAATTCAAGGAACAGAACTTTGTGGGATCTAGACCATAGATTTTCAAACTGTGGGGTGCACCCTCCAAGGGGATGTATGTTGGCTGGAGGCCCCCTCCAGTGTGCAGAGACTTAAGAGTGGTGTGCTCCAATGGTGTGCAGAGACTCAAGAGTGAAATAGATACTCAAGGCAGCAAACCATGACTTGTTCATTAGTCAAAGAGATGGAGAGTCATGAAGATCTCATGAAGAGATCTGCTCTTACAGGAGGCATAGATAAAAATTTTTAAAACTGTTGATCTAAATGAGAAATGATCACTACCATAGTATGAAAAAAGAAAGACAAACCCATGAAGTTGAGGTAGCCTTCTCCTCCTAATCCATGGGTGACAAGTCGAATGATTTTGTGCAAAGCAATGCCTCTTTCGATGATTGGTGAATGATCACTCGCCTCAGACATGAACCAATACATCTCTTTGTCCATCAACCAAAAGGCTATTGTTTTATCCCCAACCAGAGCCTATGGGAGAATGGTATCCACATGAAAGCAGATGGACATTGGCATGCTATATACAGGTTTTTTCCTTATTTTAACAAATAAACTCAAACCCAGATGATTTTACACATTCCACCATCAAAATGAAGATGTTAGATAATGAGATCCCATGCTCTCAAGGGACACCAAATGGTGTGCCCATTAAAACTTTTGCATTGTGAATGCAACGTAATGTAATGAATGTAATATAATAATGTAATTTATCATCAATAGGCATGCACAGAAAATTTCTTAAATTTGAAATGGTCCCTTTTCCCCTTAAAACAAATCCCAAATACATAATCTTAACCCTTTCACACCTTATTTAATTTTTAGCTTTCCCCCCAATATTATGTCAATTATGCAAATTGAATTTTGAACCAGCAAATTGAAAATTTATATATTTCATATTCAATGATATTTTGAACTAAATTTTGGTACTGGTGAAGTGTTTCTATTGTTGAATGGGAAATCTTATTCCCATTAAATTGAGTTGACATCCCTTCACTACTGATCCAAAATGCATATATGTATTTTGAAATCAGTAGTAATGGGATTTTAAAGGGTATGTTGATTCCCACTTCACAAAAAAAGAAGTAATAGACACAGAACACAAATATTACATCTGTCTCCTTTGATGTCAGAGCACAACACATAATAAACTCATGATATAGACAACTCTAAAGACCCAAAATACTGGGAAATAAAAGAACCAGCAATGAAGACATAATACATAAAACTTTCAAAAGAGTTTAGAAAGAAGGGGTCAGGCATATATTCAAAGTAAACCCAACAAGGAGGGAGATACCTACCTGGTCATGGGATTCAGCATATGCAATGGTCTTTTCCATGTGTCGGCGATTGATCAGTGTCCACACCAATTCTTCCATATTCCAATCTTCGTCTTTGGATTCTTTAAGCATCTTAATCCACTTGTCAGGAATGGCCATTCCAAGGCGATAATCAAAGCCTGTACCACCTTCATGAACTGGGCGACAAAGTGCCGGCATTCCTGAAACATCCTTCAAAGAGAAATTGAAACATGACAGTCAGGAAGCACATAGGAAGACATTGATTACTGGCACTTTTAACAAATTAACAACCAATGTCAGTAATGTTTCTGTTCTAATTAAGGCATCCACATCAGATGCTAGAGTCTACACACTAGGAGGAAGAAACCCTCCACATCCTATATTTCAACCTGCCAAATGAGATCCAAGCCTATAGCCAACACCAGCTCATCTGGACTTCAGGCCCTTGAAGCATCAGTGAAAATGTGACACATTAGAGCAAATATAGCAGGAATGGAGTCCATATGAAGTATTATGTCCCTGCATTCAAAGGCCAATTGTTTCCTCTCATGCTGGGTTTAGGAGACCAAGGCTCAGATTCCCAATGAAAGCAATGCCTTATTATTTACAAGAGTAAATTCACAGGGTGTATTTACATGTGCACTGTCCTTCCAGAATGTAAAAAAATTATACTTTTTCTCTCAATGAAAAACTTAATTGAAGGCTTTCTGAAAATTAATAAAATTGGTCATTCAGAACAAAATTAAGTTCTTTTTTGTGCACAATGTCAAGGTCTGCCCTACAAACTTACACAATGACTCTCATATACCAAGGTCAGCACCAACCCAGACAATAGATATGAAAACTTCTAAAGACCTCTACAACAGAACATGCAAAAAAAAGTCAAATAACTGAAAATATCAGATTTAAATTAAAATCTCAATATAAAAAAAAAAATTTTTTTCCACTCTACCTTGGATAGAAGTATTCTGCAGCATTGATGAGAGCCCCAATTATAGAATGTACTGATCTACAAATTCTGTGTGAGTTCACACTTTTCTTAACCATTTGGGAATGGAGTATTTAAAAATCTGACCATCTCTGGGTCTGAATTTTTTTAAGGTTAGGAGTAACACTGTGTTTCAGGGTATACTTCTCCACAAATTGTAAAAAATGTTTCTTACCCTAGTATTTCAAAAGTATAACTACTGGAAATACAGGTGCATTTACAGGATCTTGTCACAGTCAACACAAAAATGAATGAACACACTGGTGTGCAAGTAGTATCCAAAGGATTAAAAGTGAATTCTGGGTTTTCAAAGCAGAGTTAAATGTGGCATGATTTCTTACCATTTCAGTATTTTTCAGGAACATATGCAATGCATGAAATCCTAGAAGCCACATGATTTTTTAAATACAAAACTAACATCTATATGGGATAAATATTGGGTTGGAAAGAAAGTCTAGCAACACTTTCTGACGAAGCCCTGCGGAACGCCCCCAACGCGAAGCCGAACGCCACCACTTGCGAATTGGCGATTACACTTGGAGTCACCCATATGGCCATCGGCAACCATCCGAACGACCTCGGCTATCGGCAGGTTTACTTGACAAGGGTCCCTCATCGGCTCAGCGACTCTGACAAAGCAAGCCGTGTCGGTGTCTGCGAATCACTGCTCCTTCGTCCGCACAGAAAGGACCTTCTGAAGGAAATCGTTACTGGAGATGAGAGCTGGGTCCTCTACGTCAACCGTACTCGCAAGAGTCAGTGGCTTCCACGAGGAGAATTGCCGCCACACGAACCGAAACCAGGGTTCCACGAGAAGAAGGTTCTTCTCTGCTGTCGATGGGATTCAGAAGGAATGTTGTACTATGAGCTCCTGCCAACTGGTACCACAGTGACTGCCGTCATCTACGCTGCTCGACTTCAGAAGTTGGCTGGCGTCATCAAAAAAGAGCGTCCCAAACGCAACAAAGTTCTCCTTCTGCATGACAATGCTCGTCCACATGTTGCGAAGATGACTCGCCAGACGATTTCGGAACTGGGCTGGGAAGTTTTACCCCATCCAGCGTATTCTCCGGACTTGGCCCCTTCCGACTATCACTTGTTCTGGGCCCTCAAGAATCATCTGCGGGACAAGGCCTTCGACGATCAAGCACAGCTCGAAAATGATGCCGGCCGTTTCTTCGCTTCGCAATCGCCAGAGTTCTGGGCAAAGGGCATCGAGCAGTTACCCGTGCGTTGGGAACATGTCATAGACAACAATGGTTTGTAGACTGAAATTGCATTTCAATAAAGTTATAAAATTTTGAAAAATTTGCGCAGTGTTGCAAGACTTTCTTTCCAACCCAATATATTAATGACTTCAAATGACTTGAGGATATTTCCTCAAGGACAAAAACATTATTGTAGCAAACATTTCGATAGCTGAAAAAACCTAGTTGAAGACAAGTCATTCAGGTGTTCACCTATTGACAAAATATCTCTCATAAATGCATTCAAGTAATGATGGAGGAAGATGTCAAGAAACCTGAAGAGAACACCTACCTCAGCCACAGTGATGACATTGGGATACAATTCATGCAGCATGTGGTTAGCAAGCATGAGGTAGACAAGAGCCTCTGTGTCTGTGGCCATGCCAAAATATTCATTGTAGTCTCCACTGAATCCAAATCCCATTCCATGGTGGTGGTACATCATAGAAGTCACACCATCAAAACTTGGCAAGGAAACAAGCACCAAGTAGTTACATCACCTGATAGCTTTTCTTTGAAGGGATAAGCAAAGAGGTTTGCAAATTACTTTTTACTACCTTTAACATTGTGCAAGTTACTTCTCATAAAATTTTACTACCTCCAATGCATGCAACACTCACCAAAGTACAAAGGTACCTGTAAGCTTACTGTTTTCTTTTTATTAGAGGATGAAGCACCAGCAACATTACTACAACAGTGAAAAAAACAATATGAACAAGAGTGAAGACTCACCGAAAGCCATCAAACTGGTACTCCTCCATATACCACCGTAGATTGGACAAAAGGAAACGAAGGACCTCCCAACTGGAATATGCAATTTAATTTACAAGAGGTTCAACTAATGAAATACAAGGTTATAGTCAGTTGGCAGATGTATGACATTCTGGAACAAAAATTGCATCACAACTCAGTGAAAGTTTGCATCATATTTTGATGCAGCATGGGGAGAACATTATGTAAAAAAGAAAAGCATGCTTCATAGGCTTGCCATCATGCATTCAAGGTAAGAAATGCTCAAGACGGTTTCCATCAAGCTCCAAAACTGCTCCCAATCAGTGTCAGCCATTGCAGACTGCAGCTCTCAACATGTTAAAGTGAATGGACTCCACTTCTCTATGAATGGCATCCTTTAATTCTGGTAATGATGCTAGGATAATGGACAATCTTCGTGCATGATGGCATAGATGTAACTCCTGCAAAGACAGTGCTCACAGACACCTTTTATGATGGGTCATCAATACACAGCTACTGTTTCAGAAAATATGAACAAGATCACTAGATCCAAAGATCAGCAAATTTTTGGTTTTAAGGGTACCTAAATTCACAGGTGTCTCTCAGCACTCTAGCATCAATAAAAGAACCAAAGGGTGCCATTAGGCAAGGAGTCCATTCATAGTGACACGTTGAGAGATGCAGTCTGTGATGTCAGACACCAACTGGGAGCAGTTGTGAAGCTAAGTGGGAGCTGTATGGAGAATTTCTTACCCTGAATATAGGAACCCATGCCAGCAGCACCCACCAGGCAGGCTTTTCTATTCTGCATAATGTTCTCCCCATGGTGCACCAATACAACTCCCAAAGTTTCACTGAGCTGTTGTCTATAGCTTTTTCGTGAGAATGTTGTACACAGCACAACTGATTTTAAAATCTGAAAATCTAATAAATTGGTCTATTGAACAATGACAGCAACAAGCACAAGAGCAAACTGTAAATACATGTTAAACTTCTCTTATGAATCCTTTCTTGGGTTAAAAATGGAATGCCTGTCACAGGTGTCAAATACAAAAAATCTGGAATCAATTAGATAGTACAGGTGTCAAACAGTGTTCATTATACTTTCTTGAATTCAAAACTTTCCAGTTCCTTTACCTGACTTACTGAAGAGGATAATAATGCAGGTTGATAGATTAAAATTTGCATTGAATTAGTAGCCTTGAAAATAATGCTAATTTATGAAGTAATTAAGTTGGGATGTACCAATATTAAGTTTCTCAAATATTCTAAAAACCTGGTATTAAATAATAGATATTGACAGAGCACCTCTAACAAGGCTAGGAACATGAAGCTGAAAATAAAATTGAGGAAGCATGATTTTCATCACTTCCCTCAATTTTCCTCTCCAAAAACCAAATTCACTGCCACTCATTTAGGACTCATTTCCTTAGGCCTCATCATGTCCTGGGAGTCCTTATTAACAAATAAATCTTTCCTCTAAAATTGGGCAAAGGCCCCTCAAGGTATAGTATCCACAAAGCAAAGGCCTACTGTTGGCCTGGTCAATGCAAATAAATGTTGGTCAATTTTTCCTCTTGTATGAGAATATGAAGGATAATTATGATGGTGACATTCAATTCCCCTATCTTACTGCTAACTGCTGGACTTGACTGCACTGGGAAAATGATTGTAAAGAAGGAACAAGGCACTGATATGGCATGAGTCACTTCATATTGAAGATAAAGGAAGAAACAGGTTCTTTTTTCTATTGATTTTTTACTCTTCCATCTGTCTGTTACAAAATAGACATTGGATTGTGCAAAATTCACCTAAAGGCCTAAAACTTTCATCCTTGCAAGTTTCTGTTCTCTTCACTCACATCTATCAACGAAAATAGTTTGCCATTGCGTCAATGCTTCCTGTCAACACATGGATATTTTCAGAACTAGTGATTTTCTATTGATTGCATCCCTTCCTACAGTCACTGGAGTGGTAATTACTTAATTCTTAATTCAATCTCTGATTTAGCTAGGGGGAGTTATTTTGAGATGGCAGATGTCACCCAGTTGGATGACATGTGCCATTCAGGAGGGAGGGTGCATTCAATTGAAAATCACTGTATTATCATAACAACTCTAATTCTAACATCCAGCTTCACAGTAGCCAATGTGATGCCTGACATTCAATCAATAGACTTGCACTCAGCTGGTGTCTGCAGGCATACTGTATTGACATCAAGGGAAAAGGTGCTCATGCACTCACATAAAAATCTGATATTGGCAGAGCAAAATATCAGAACACAGATATTCACCAAAATCTCTCATTGAATACTGTTACTGATATATTATTACATCCATAAAATTAAGATTCATGGCTTACTTGGTGTAATTGAAGAGACGAGAGTCCCAGAGATCATGAAAACCTCTACCTCCTTCATGAAAGAAGCAATTGTCAGACCCATCAAAGCGATTCAGACCATCCAACACATTCTTGCTTGCATGTGAATGAACCACATCCAGTAAAACAGTGAGTCCCATTGAATGGGCCTGGTCCAAAAGTGCCTTGAGTTCTTCTGGAGTTCCATATCGACTGAAAAATTGAAAATTGATGGATGACCAGACGTGAGCCAGAGAGAATCCAAAGCTGTAATCAAAATGAAAACCTATCCATTAAAGAAAAATGGAGCTCACCTGGAAGCAGCATAGAAATTGGTCACCTGATACCCAAAGCTGGCATAGTACACATGTTCCATGATGGCCATCAACTGGATTGCATTGTACCCTGGTATGGAAGAAAACAGATCACTGCATAGGGGGCTTCAAAAAGTCAATTCCCAAAATCTTTGAAAGGTTAGGGCTCCTTCACAGATATGGCAAAATAGATTCAATTTCAATCTTAAAGCTATCAGCAAGCAGTTTTGAATGTTGGAAGTTGGAGTAATGGTTTCCCACATAAGCCTTGCACTGGGCTAAGTTAAAACCGGCATGTCCTGGCACAATAATTTGATACAGCAAGGTGAACAAGATGCAGGGGAAGTCACCCCAAGGATGGCTGTATCTGTCAAAGAAGCTACATCCATGCTTGGACTGCTGCTCAATTTACACTAGGGCTGCACAGATTTTGTAATACAAATTCAAATTTATTTATTTATTTTAACAGTGTTCAGCTATGCCTTCAATTACAATATTTATATATTTTATGGATTTTTCCAGCAATGAAGATAACCTCAGAGCCTTACATGCAACTACAATTGATCTTGGTATATTTTCCAGTCTCCAAGATATATGGAATACAGGTTGCGGAATTGGTGCTCCTTAATCTAGGATAATGATTAATTCACTTGGAATCTGTTTTGATCAACCTGGCAAAATTTCTGGGATCATGGCATATTTATTGCTCTGTCAAGTTACTTTCCTTTATGTGATGTCATTGACAAATTAACAAAACAAGATCTTTAGCTTCTTAAAATAGTTGCATCCAGAGGTACCTCTGTATAGTGTTTTAGCCATCTATACCTGCTTGAATTGTTTAGGGTAAAAAGTTCTTAGAAATGTGCTAAATGGAACTAAAAAAGCAGGAATTTCCCTGGAATAATCTTTTCCAGATAATTTTAACAGAATTTCATTTTTCAGTATTTTCCTAGGGCAATGCACAATTTTGGCATCTGAGAAAAAGAGATTGGAAATGATAGCAATTTCAACACAATGAAAAAATCCCACAGGAAACATGATGCTGCATCAATTCCCCCATAGGAAGAAGGTAGGAAAACACCCTATATACCTAGGCACAAGGCATGTCTGTCATTGATAACTCAGAATGATCAACGGCATTGTTAGCCTATCGTTTCACTCCATGCATTCAAAGCATAATGAATGGAGGCGACGAAGGTTGAGTTTTCTTTTGCACATCCTCTGGCCCAGCTGACATTGAAAATCCTCAGCAAGGCAAAGGCTGGATGTGCTCAATTTCAAACACCTCAAAATTTATGGGGATTTCAAGCATAGAATCACTTGGCATCTCCCATAAATTGTCACTAGGAAGTGAAAATTAAACTATGATCTTTCTGACTGGCAAGCAATGGCTGATTTCAACACTGCAGTCTAGATCCAGTTCAGTTCCAGTTGGGGTGTCTTTGAGTAGAAATTGACAAGAGCCACTGAGACTACATGCCCACCAAGTTTCAACCTCATATGTTTGCCCTATTTGATGGTGAAAAAATATATTTGGAAGAGTCAAAAGCCTTGCCCTGATGGATGCACAACGAAAGTTGAATTTTTCCTGAACTCATCACCTCAGTTTTGCATGTGCCAAGCTTCACCTTTCTATCTCTGCCCAATTCATTAGAACAAAATAATTTGAAAATGTCACCCCCAAAAAATATCCCCCAAGGAACACATATGAAACTTGGCATTTTTCTTGAACTCAGTGTTTTGATAGGCACATTCATGTCAAGTTTCGGCTTCCCAAGTCTCTCCATTTTACTGAAGGAAAAATATTTATCTGTAAATATTTCCCTCCGAAATGTGTGCCCCAGGGCATGTACCTCCAAAGTCAAAATTTTCTGAACTTTGCATCCCAATAGCTACTTATGTACCAAGTTTCAGATTTCTAACTTCTCTTGAACATGGTTAGAATTAGTGTCAGTCAGTCAGTCACAATTGTCTATATGTATTAGCTGGGGAGGGAAAAGGATAAGGCATTTGGTGTCTTACACATTTCTAAAATTAAACTTTCTGACAGAGCAATGAATGATGTGGCTCATACATGCAAGTGATGTAACTGGGGTCATAACCTTAATCTTCTTAAAACTCCTCCACCTTGGTCCTAATTTGTCTACCCTTCTTAAAACAGTCATATACCTCTTCTAACTATCTCTCCCTATTAGTAGCAATTAGTGTTCTGTCAACAATTCAGAATCACCAAAAATTGATACTTCTAAATTGGTGCAGTCTCAAGCAGTGCATGAAAAGACTCCATATACATAGCCTCCTGAGGGGGGCTAAATTTGAAGCTTCATACAGGACAGTAAATTGTCTCACATGAGGTCAAGGAGAGGCAACACAGAACAGGCTCTCATCCCATTCCTGCCTTTGATAGGAGGGTCCATTCAGTTATTTTCCCACTCTTGACTCAGCCTATATATTAGCAACTAATGCACAATAATTGCAAATGCACAGACCAGGAGCAACTTGTAGGGAAATGTTCAAATAGGAGGCCTTACCCAGCTTCTTTATGCGAGGAAGGATATTATCCTTGAATTCGGCATAAGTGGCAACCTTGCCCTCATAAGATGCAATTCCGACGTGACTCTCATATACCCGAAGGCTTTTTGGCTTTTCAGGCTTCTTGTGCTGAAATACATGCCTCTAAAAGGAGTGGAAACCATGCACAGTTTAACAGTGTACTCTGTCTCTAATCAGTGCATTCATCAAGAGAGGCTTACATATGCCCTAGAGTAATGATGTTACTGCCTACCTGTGGTGGATTCCAAAAGACCCAGTAGTATGCAAGGCCTTCAATCTTTGGTGGTTTGACAACATAAGTGGCCCAGGGACTTATGCGATCTTCCAGGCTCCCAGACTTTGTTTTCACAACTATCTGAAAATAGAAATTGATCCCATTCTCATGTATGACAACACGACACTTCAATTAAATAGCATTTTCCAAAATCAGTTTAAGATATAAGTTTAGGGGCCAATACCGAAAGAGCAACCAAATATTAATTCTGTCAATTGTAAATGGATAACACAGCATACATTTGGAGTTGGATGAAACTTGGCATCTATGACTTTTATTTTCCAAAAGTGCCATCTTTGAATTTCTCATCTCATCAGGCTCAAATGTAACAAGAAAGTGATGCTTCGGGGCCATGGCATGACCACTAAACTCTGACAACCTATGAGTAAAAAAAAACACTCATCACAGAGACTTGATTCTACTGTCATTGTCTCCAAATATCTTGAGGGTTTCTAAAATAAAGCAGCAAGCTGTCTGGATATTCTAACCTTTTGTTGCAAAATTGACCTTGAATTTGAGCTCCAAAAATATCAAGTAGCCAAAAATATCAGATGTGAAATGAACTGAATTCCTACAAAGTGTGAAAGTTGCAGGTGGGACATTTTTCCTTTGCAAGGATTTGGAATATGGGAAATTTCCCTTCAATAAGCCTTGAGGAGGGAATTTGGTCATCCCTGAAGAAATCAAGATGGGCAAGCCCAGTCCAGTAGATGACCTTCTTTTATTCAAGGAAACCCACATTTTGCCACCTAATTGAATAAAATGCCATCTCTTTCCAGTCCTCAACCATCAAAAACATCATTTTTCAGTTATGTTTGAAAATCTACCCATAGTGCCCATGAAATGATGGGAGGATGGAGGGTTGTGTGTGCTTGGAACCATCCACCACAACAGTTGGTAAGGAACTGACAACTCTAGTTGCTGGCATGGCACCAGGCCCATGACCCATGGTCAGGGTCCGGGTCATATGTGCATTCGCATTGTGATCCTGAAGGGCTCATGGGTATTCAGGCCTTCCCCAAACTTGACCAAATTTGAATTCCAAAATTTGCAATAAATATGCAGTTTTGGTAAAAATTCATGCCAAAATGAACTCAGTCTGTATCTTGTTCATATTTATCTGCTTGCCAATTTTTGCATTGGTCAGGCCAATATTTTCTTAGTCAGACAACCAAAGTGTGACACACAGACAGACAGGATGGGACCATACATAGTCTCCTTTCAGGAAAGGAGACCCACTAAAAATTACATCCTCTTACAGGAAATTTATATCTACTTGCATTCTGCATCCAGATTTCTGGATACTTAGATGTTTACATATTACTCAATGCTTCTTTGTTGGAGTTGAAAATCCAGTATTTTTTTTAATAAGTACAGACATAAGAATGGAAGCATGTTAACTACCAGAAATCAACTCAAAGTTGTGCAGTCAGAATTTTTAAATATATATTATGAATGGGAAATGCTTAAATTCAAGAGGATATGAAAAGCTGTCCATTCAGTTTATTATCACCTTGCAAGGAGTGTATCCAAGGGTTCTGCTATTGCATATACAGCTTTCATTAATAGTTATTTTTTAAGGTTTCTTGAGATAAATTGAAAGGATGATGAATTCCAGTTGTGCTTGAGTTGACCTGCATTTTCAGCAAAAGTTTTTCAGAAACAGATGATATAAGTGTACATCAATGGATCAGTAGAAGGTCCTAGAATTGAGGACCAGGATTTCTCCTAAGGATATTCAATGATTGTGTTGTTCCCAAAACACAAAGTGCAAAAATCCATACTGAAGCTAAAGGTTAAGACTCTGTCTCTCAGTCATGATTCCTGAATTATAAATGTTACAGGTCCTTGACATGAGACTAGGTAGTGACCAAAAATGTGACAGCAAATTTTTTAACCATTGGTCTATTCAGATTAAAATTTGACACTTGATTTTTGGTTATGAATATCCTGTGCATCAAATGGCAGCTAAATCTGAGGGGTGTTGCATTAAAACAAAATGTTTGTTCCATTGTTCTGTTGGCTACTAAGTGGATCCCATGGGACCTACAGAGCTATGTAGGTCCAATGGGACCTATGTTGAAGGCTTCACCTTAGAAGCTCTTACAGCCTATAGGCAGTGTTGGGCGGTAACGAAGTAAAAGTAACGCGTTTCAGTAACTAATTACTTTTTTCAGTAACTTTCGAGGTAACGAGTTACTTTTCAGGGGAGGGTAACGGAACCGGTAACTAGTTCCTTTTTCATGGGAAAAGCATGTGGCGTTACTTTAACGCGTTCCTTTTCTGGATGATTTACTAATTTAGCTGAAAACAACCAGCGCTTCATGGCCACATGCATCCTAATTGATGCACTATTGGGAGGAAAGACGGGGACATGAAATTGCCTTGAGAAAACATAGTTTATTCAGTGCAGGTTTCTTGGCTGTACCTGCAAACATATTTCGATGTGCAGGTCAGAAACGAATACAGAGTTCCATCGATGCAGTGGCGTATTTTACGGGGGGGTAGTCGCCCCCAGGCGCCTCTGGGACAGAGTCTAGCCCCACCTTAGAGGTAATACTTTTCTCTCCTGATATTTCTCAGGTGGGGTTTCACTCTATTGCCCTGCCCCCAACCCCCACCCCGACCCTTCAGTCAAAATACGCCACTACATCGATGCAAACTTTTGTGTGAAGTGCTCTGTGTTTACTGATGGCCAAGGTACTTTCCGTCGCACGAATTCCAGCATCTAACTTGAGAAAGCATGTCTAGATGAGTTCCATCCTGTCCTGACTCCATACAGACAACCTTTGGTCTAACGTTAGATCTGAATGATAGGCGTTGCTTTGGTTCTGATAGTACATCTGCACGGAAACCTTTCGTATGCTTATCGTTATCAATGATTGTGTTGTTCCCAAAACACAAAGTGCAAAAATCCATACTGAAGCTAAAGGTTAAGACTCTGTCTCTCAGTCATGATTCCTGAATTATAAATGTTACAGGTCCTTGACATGAGACTAGGTTGTGACCAAAAATGTGACAGCAAATTTTTGAACCATTGGTCTATTCAGATTAAAATTTGACACTTGATTTTTGGTTATGAATATCCTGTGCATCAAATGGCAGCTAAATCTGAGGGGTGTTGCATTAAAACAAAATGCCTGTTCCATTGTTCTGTTGGCTACTAAGTGGATCCCACACCTTGGAAGCTCTTACAGCCTATAGGTCCCATCACTTTGTGTTCTGCTTATGGCTATGGGACCTACGTGGTCTCTACATGAGAGCTACGCTTTTGATAGCTTGCAGGATGCAGCATGAGGATACTTTAGTATTTTAACATGTATATATGATAATTAGTATTAAAAAAAAAGCTTTTAGGGTGGAGCGAAAAGCATGCTTAAAATGTAGCCAAAGCATTAAGTGACTTAACATTTCCCCATATTCCCCCACCCATTATTGCCAACATAGAATGTTCTTCAAAGACATGGAGATGGCAAATAGAATGGTACTATACATCCGGAAACAACACTGAATACAACAATAAGCACAGATTTGCAACATTTGTCAACTATGAATGTGACTTGCCTTGAGTTTAGAAAGGTGATCAATGGGGCAGGAGCCATCAGGGCGAGGAGGAATGTGCAGTTCCCATTTCCCGAAATCAAGCTTCTTATATGGATGCTTCTCATGATTCCAATCATCTGAAAAACCATCTCTCCATTTGTAAAAATGCCTTTTCATTTGCATACACATTGCAAAATAAAAAACACATGATAGCCAAGAGCCTGATTCTCTGAAGCACTTCTGATAGAAAAGATTTGATATTTTGTAACATCTGTGGTAAGCTCCATCTAGTCCAGTTAGTACAGTTTTATTATTTATATGGTGAATTTTGATATACAACATTTTCAAAGATCAGAACTTCAAGTCTCTACTTTTGAAAGAGGGCTCAAAGAATACTGCTAAGTGGAGAAATTGACAATTCATGCAAAGAATTAGTTTATAATAAAAATGAAAAAATAATTCAGCATATCAATTTACAAAGTAAATCTGCATAAAATAGGTTGTAAAAAAGGCTGTGGAAAGAAAGAAATGGAAAGGCTCACTGAAGTCTCCCTTAAGAAACATTGCTTCTGCATTTGGAGCCCATTCCTTGCAATAGATGCTGTTGTCAGGCATCACTTTCACACCAAACTTCTCATAAGCACGGGAAAACTTCTCCAGTCCTCCCTCATTTTTGTTAAACAGTTCCACATATGCACTGAAGATTGTGTACCTACAAAGTAGGGCTTAGACTCAACATGCAGCAATTTCCAATAATGTAATTATCTCTGCAATGGAGAAAAACTACTCAGGGTGATGACAAAAGTTATAACTCTTATTCTCATTGAATGGGGTCACAACTTTTAGGAAGTCTGCTACTTGAATCTTGAAGAAACATATGATAATGAAACTTTGACTAAGAGAACCCTATCATCATTAGACTCATCACCAGGGGTGGACTCTCTTTGCAGGAAATTCAGCATTAATGGGATGATAATGCTTACCGTCTTCTGAGTTCATCACCATGCAGTCGCAGGTATCCATCCATTTCAAACAGGCCTTCCAATCCAGGAGGGGAGACTAGTTCTCGACCAGATATGTCAACAACTGGGGGCATCTTTACAACCTATACTTCTAAAAGGCAACTCTGGAACAGTTAAATCATTAGAGTGAGAAAAGAACCTCTTTTGAGTACATACACAAGTCATTGCAAGAAAGCCTCTTGAATTTCAGACTGTTCTCAGTATAAGAAATGGAAACTTCTCCTATAAAAGCATCCAGAACAAAAAAAAAACCAGTAAAACCACATTGTAGCAACCACTCAAAATTCAAATGCTTCCCCTCAGGGACTCAGAACCACATAAGTATAGTATTAAATATATCTACTCACTAAAAGCCAAGCACATACTTTTGAAAGACAGGAATTACACTATAGTTCACCCTAAAGTCTTGTGGGGTGACCTCACTCATATATCGATGATCTGACAAAAGGGCAAATGTGGAATTTAAACATTTTTCAGAGCAAAAACTTGCTTTAAGACTGAAGAATGACAATGGAAGACCGTGGATCTCTAACTTTCAGAGCTGAAACATACACAGCTTCCAGGTGCATAGTGAAACATTCTTGAACCCCCACACTACAATCCAAAAAGAGGACTAATTCTTACCTGTCCTACTGGAAAAATGTCAAAATTGCATATTAACACTTGTCAGTTCATTGATGACAGAGGAAATGGTGCTGTGTATACCTCAGTGCCATCTACACACAAACACTTGAATAGACTACTTGTCTCATACTATAACTGAATACATGAAAGATGGAAAAAAGGATTAAATCATGCAGAAGTGTGGACATAATACATAAGGAATGTAACTATCTTGAACTGCAACTTTGCTTATTAACTCTTTGGCAGGTACCGATTAATGTTACCATACTTATATTGCAGGTCATCACGGCTTTGGGGAGCATGTTTCCATCTCCTGGCAGCCTGTTGGAATATTTATAAGCAAGAGATAGTGATTAGAACTTCAAACAGCTGATTTTTTTCATGTATTTTATCACTACTGTTTAAAAAAGTCACCTGCCCAAGGACTAAGGCGATTAATTTGCATGGGGACACCATCAGCATGGCATTTATGAACTGCCACATATACACCTTATGGTGCAATATGATGAGATGTACAGGTGTTTTGTACAAGTGAGTTTCACACAGTGGGATGTAGGGCCAATTCTTGACTAGTACCTCCCTAGATTGCTAAGTACTTTTTTGTGAAATACATACTGAAATAGCAAATTGAAGCAGATTTCAGAGGCAGACTCTAAAGCTAATAAGAGCTCAGCTAAATTAATTAGACAAAAAACCCCACCTCCATTTTTATAGGTCCTCCAACTTGACATTCAAGGAAGGCTACATAAAAAATAGTGCAATGCTTCATAAGCCCTTACATAAATTATCCAGAGGAATTCTTTATACAGTTTTGCAACAACCACTTGAGAACTGTATAAACAAATACTGTCACAAAAAGAAATTATTTGATCATCTCAGTAAACAAGCTCCTAAATTACAGAATATGTAAAGCTCTCAGGAAAGAAAGAAAAAATAACTGAATTCCATGTAATTACCAGCCAAATACCAGAAAATAAGATTTTTGCTTAATTACATAGGTGAGTTCACCCTTATAAACAGAGTACATATTCCAATGACCCAATATTTCCATCTCTAAGCCTATGTGCACATCAGAATTTGTGACATGCAACTGCCACAGCTCCAGTACGTTTAAACTAAAACAATCTACAGTACCGGTGCTGGTAACATTTTTATTAATGGAGCCAGCTATTACCAACACAATCCAAACATGGATGGCCAATAAGGACAAAGGAAAGTGACAAGATCATCCTTCTGTACAACTTATACATTCAGAACATGATTTATCAGCATTTCCTTGTGAAAATGCAGCTGAAAAGTGAAAAACCTAGTCAGACTCACTGCTGGAATCACTTCCAGATTCAGGATCACCAACGGAAATTGTGAACTTGTACTCCTGATCGCAACCCATGTATGCATCACTCATGAAATATAGAGTATATGAATAGGCCCCAGGGTTGGGGGCAATGAAATCCAATTTAATCTTGGCCTTCTGCTGGAGTGTCATCCTCTTGATAGATATGAGAGAATTGGATTTTGGATCTCCAATCACCACCCACCAACCCTCTTCACGCTTCTGAGGAAAGAATGGGGCAATGACAGTGGTTGGAACTTCATCTTCACGCTCCAACTGCACATTGACATTCACTGTCTGTCCAGCTCTCAGCCTGTCTTTATCTTGGACTTCATACATCAGTTCAATGTTGGGATAGCGATTGCAGAATCGTGCAACATCAGCCATCTGTTGGTCAGTCAATTGTAACAACTTGTTACGGTCCTCATCCTCCAATTCCATGATGTCAAAAACAGTATCAACATTCTTTTCCTGGCATCGCTTGACTATCTCAGAGGTGAAGTGAGGCAGCTGCTTCAAGTATGAGTCCTTGTTCCACATGGCTTGGGTGACCATCTGAGCAAGCTCCATAGCAGAGAGGGCAGGAGCCAGCCAACCATTGCTGCTCAACACATCAACACAAGCCTGAATCAGGCGAAGAGCCTTATTCAGAATTGACTCCGTGTCCTGTTGGAGTTCGGCCGACAATTGCATACGGGACAGATGTGCCTGGATGAGGAGATTGGTCTTAAAATGTGGATCAGTAAATTTCACATTCTGTGGCTTGTGTGGGAGCCTTGTCAAGAGATTCTTCATGATGTTATCCTCTCCATGTCGGATGGGGATGTCACCAAATTCTGCAGCAGAGGATATAATTTCAAGCAATCCCCTCAGTTTGGTCTTGGAGTTCAATGACATGCTAAAGAGTTCAATTGTTGTGTAATTGATGTAGTAGTATGCAGCAATCATGCCCAAATTCAAAGGCGACACATCCATCTCATCCTCGATAGTGATGCATTTGGACTGTTCCAAATCACTCAATGTTCTTTCAACCAATTCAGACAGACTGTCAGATAGATGACGATGAGTTACACCTTGAAGATTGTAGTAATTGGGGTTTTGAGTCATACGTCGATACAGGAATGTCCAAGTGAGATAGTCCACAGCATCTTGCTTGTTCTCAATTGTCTTCGTAACAATCTCAGCATTGAAGTGATCATGAAGACAATGATCCAAGTGACTCTCAATTGGCAAAGGTTCATACAAAAACTTCTTGAAGAAGTCCTTCTTTGATGATAAGCACATGAGAACACATTTGCTTTCATCATCCTCAAGAGGGCGATTGGCTCGACCCAGCATCTGGATGACATCTGTGACAGGATAGTCCTCATAGGAATGTGTCTTTCCCTCATAGTACTGTGTGTCCATGATGACCACCAAATGTGCAGAAACAGATAATCTCCAGCACATTGGCCGAGATGCAACAAGAATTTGAATTGCACCAGACTCAAATAGCTGTTCCACAATTCTCCGATCAGGACCACTGAGGCCTTCATGGAGATAGGCAACCCCTTCACTGACAGTCTCCTTCAATGTTTTGTCAGTCAGCTTTTCAACAAATGGCTCAATATCAGACTTCTCAGCAAATAGGAATGAAGATGAGGCTCCTTGTGCAGCAACCAAGGTGAGGAGATCAACAGCTGTGAGCCTGGTCTGTCTCCGATAAGGCACAAAGATGATGACAGGCTTCTTAGGACTATGTTTTATAATAGCCTGGTAAGTTGGTTTGGCCATGGCCAAGAGACGAGATGCATTGTGGGTGACATTGAAGCCCTGAATGTGAAGTTCAAGCGGGAGAGGTCTGACATTTGGATGGAAATTGAATGTGGCATTTGCACCACAGCCCAACCACTGTGCAACATCTCGAGCATTTGAGAGAGAAGAAGAGAGAGCCACAATACGAATTGGCCTTTCCAGCTGAGAGGAAATGTAGCGCATACGTGAGCACACCACCTCCATGATGGGACCTTCTTCTCCTCCCAGCAACTGAAGTTCATCAATGATGAACAAGTGCACATTCTGTACATTCTTACGTTGCTTCCATCGTCGAGAAAGAACATCCCACTTCTCTGGGGTACTGATGATGACATTCCCTTTGGCCAACAGTTTCAAGTCAGTTCCTGTCTCCCCGGTCAATAATGCAACCCTCTTTCCAAGTCTCAAACTGAAGTTCTTGTGCCACTCCTCATAAATCAATTCTGCCAAATCCTCCTTTGGAGTCACATAGACACACCTACCATCAGGATTTTGTGAAAACAGATGAAGAAGGGAAAATTCTGCAATGGTGGTCTTTCCACTACCTGTGGGAGCTCCAATGAAAACATTGTCATCAGTGTTGTATACAGTGTTGAAGACTTGAGTCTGGATAGGATTGAACTGGGAGTACTTCTGGTAAAGAGTCTCATACTCAGGGTTCCTCAAAGCTGTTATAGGTAGTGGTTGCAAGTCCAGTAATTCAGTAGGAGCAGGATTCTTCTCTGGGAGGATGAGATGACGGAAAGAAACTGGAAGTATTGTCTCAGATCCAATCCAATTATCTGACACAACTCGAATGAAGTATTGAGGGGGGAGTGGTTCAAAGACTGGAACAAAGAATTTGATAATATGTTCATCCTCAGCAAACTTAGCTTTCAAAAGAAAATATTCATGATGAAGGATGACTTCAGAGTCAACATCTTCCACCAGTATCCAGAAAGCCTGACTTCCTCCATGAATCTTCTCATCCCATTGAAAGTCTGGGGTGATTCGAAGCTCCACTCTCAATGTAGAACGAGTGATAGGCTGAATGTGTGTGACAAGTTCAAGTTTGGGGAACTGGTGTATATACTTGTGTATTGTCTTCCCAAGTTTTGGCATCCGAAGCATTTCTCCAATCTCATTGGGTTGTAGATCAAAAAGACGTTCCCAAGGAAAGCCCTTTTTCTCCAACTTTCTCACCACCTCTTCTGGAACTTTGCGGAACTGCCGAAGTGGACACATAGATTGCCACATCCGCTTGTCAATCATCTTACAAAGTGACAGAACTTTGTCACCCAGCTGAGCCCAGGAATGATGAAGGACAATTTCAAAGATAGCCCGCATGAGACGTCCAGCTGATTGGGTGATATACACCATGTCAGACATCAGAGCAAATCCCTCCAGTTTTAGTTGAGATATGTAAGCCTGAAGGAGTACATTGACCTTAGCACTGGGTTCTTCTATGCCCTCTTTGATTGGGATTGGAACTCTCTCCATGAGCTTCTGTAGCTCAAGCTTCTCCTCATCACGAACTGTGAGGTTCTTGAATTCTTCAGATAAAGAAAATACCCTGAATAGCTCAATCTCACTCAGAGTTGGCTTCAGCAGCTGATTGTAGGTTGACATGGTTCTGTGTGTGCAGTAATAATGGCTGGCAATTCGACCCAGGTCAGTCACTTGAAATATTCCTTGCTTTCGCTCATACTTTAAGAGTTTGGACTTATCAAGCAAAGCAGCTGCTGTATGCACCAAATCTCCTCGCCGTTGTTCCAGCAGGGGATCTGACTTCAATTGATCATGACTAATCCCATACAGAGTTGGTGCACGTAACATCCGAATATATAAGTACGTGTAACCCAGCCAATTGATAGCATCTTTTGCTGTCTGTACAGTTCCAAGAACAGCTTCAGCATTCAAAATATCTGCCAACTTTGATGTCATCTGTGATTCAATTGGAAGCTGCTGATTCATCAGGGACAAATAATACTGAAGTTCACTATGATTGGTAATGAGGATCCCTTCACCCTTGGTGTCATATTGAGGCCGCCCTGCTCGTCCAAGCATCTGCATCACATCCAAAGCCCCAAGTTCTGTCCAGCGACCCTTCTCAGGATTGTACACCTGAGTGCCCTTGATAATGACAGTGTGGGCTGGCAAGTTCACACCCCAAGCAAGGGTAGATGTGGACACAAGTACCTGGATGTGCCGGTCAGCAAACAGATCTTCCACTAGAGTTCGATCCACACGGGTCATTCCAGCATGATGAATGGCAAAACCATAAGGGAGGAGATCTCTCAATTCTCCATTCTTCACCTGCTCAGCTTCCTGTCTCAAAACCTCTGTTGAAGCAGAGCCCTCACGAAGGAAATGTCCAAGAGTGTCCTTCTCCAAACATAAGTCCCGAATTGCTCTTGCTGTCTTCCCAGTCTCTTTTCTTGAGTGGACAAATATCAACACTTGGTTCTTCCCTGCATGCTCCAATACCTTCTCATACACAATGTCATTCATCAACTGGTAGCGTTTGACAGCTTTCTTCTCTGTGATTCCAATGTACTGCTGCTCCAAGGGGACAGGACGGAAACTATTGTCAAAGTAGAACAATCCAGTCTTTGGCTTTACACGGAGGAAAGTACCAACATCTTCATAATTAGGCAATGTTGCACTAAGTCCTATCAGGCGGACATCCTCCTGAGTTGTCTCCACATTTCGGATGGTTCGGGCAACCAGAGCTTCTAGCACAGGTCCCCGTTCATCATGAAGCAAGTGAATTTCATCAATAATCATCAGTCGAACCAGCTGAGTAAAAGTTCGCTCGCCTGCCTTCCTTGTCATAATATCCCACTTCTCTGGTGTGCAGACAATCACTTGCGTTGCTTGAATCTGCTCTCTTGACAATTGATGATCACCAGTTAATTCTGACACAACAAGATTATAAGAGGCAAGGCGCTTGGAGAAATTTCCTGTCATTTCTTGAACCAATGAGCGCATTGGGGCAACATAGACAATCTTGAATTCATTGGTATTTATGGTACCATCAGGATTCACATGCTTTCCTATTTCTCTCATGATAGCCAACAAAGCAACATTGGTTTTCCCAGCACCAGTTGGAGCACACAAGAGTAGGTTGTCATCCTTTTCCATGGCTGCCTGGAAAAGACGGCTCTGGATGCGATTCAAGCTTTTGAAACCTTCAAAAGCAGGTTGTGCATACTTGGGGAGACGCTCAATTGGAACAAGCAATTCATCAGCTCCAAGCTGCTTTGGTTTCAAAGCTGGGACATGAACCTCTTCATATCCCTTTCTCTGTTTTCTATATGATCCTTCTGGCAATTGACATCTCTTATTTGCCATGAAGTGGGAGCCCTGTTGGAAACTCAGATCATCCAGATCCAACACCTGCCTATGACCAAATTGACCTTTTTCATTAAGCATCTCTCCATCCTCATCATCTTCCATTCCCCTTTTTCTCCTCTTTTCTCTTTCTCTCCTTGCATCTAGCTCACCACCTTCATTCTCAGCAACAGCAGCTTCAAGCTGAGAAAGGATTTTCGTGAGAGCTGGATCAGCCTTCATTTTGGTTCTGACCTCATCCCTTTCAGCATCAGTTTGCGCAGATGCAAGAAGTGTACAATATAGCACCATGTTACGCTGCTTCTTCACTATTCGAATGAAGTCAAAACAGTCATACCCCAGAAGAAGAACAAGCTGGTTCTCACACTCTCTGTCATCTTGGGCATTCCTAAGGATATCCAAAACTTCAGCAGCTTTGGACTGTGAAACCATTGGATCATTATAGAATTTTGACAACTGCCTCTGAAGCCAATATGCATCAATATCAAGCGGATGAAGACCTTTCTCCTTTTTGGCAACTTCTTCACCACTTGTCAAATTTGTGGCATGAATTGCTGAATCAAGCTTGGCTTCTTCCCCTTCTTCATCCTCCATATCTTCTTCACGAACTTCTCCAAAAACATCCTCCTCATCTTCTTCTTCTGATTCCTCAAACTGAACATTCACACCATATGTTTCATCCAAATTTTCCTCCATTGGTTGAGTCTTCTCTTCACCTCCATAATCAGTAATTTTCTTGCCAAGATTTGCCAAAAGAGCAAACCTCTCTTCTGCCAAAGATCCAAGCAAGTTTTCAGTCTCAGATTTCTTCTCTTTCTCTTTCAGGCGGTCATTCTTCAGAACAGCCAATACTTCATCTGCTGCACCACAGAGGATATCTCTTGGCTGATCACCCAAAGCCTCTTGAATAAAGCTCAGCAGGACCTCATAGGTTTGACGAGTATCTTGTGTCTTAGGCCGATAAACAATGCCAACCATGTCCTCAATCCCTTCCGACAACAATGTAGTTCCTTTCATGCGAACGAAGTCATACTGAGCTTCATCCCTACGCTGCCGCTTGATCTTCCTCTCTTCTTGTGCCTTTGGCTTGGTTCGCTGGAATTTGTCTCCCATGCGGGAACCTTCAAGTTTACCAACCAGAGACAGAACCTCTCCTGTGGGCTCATCTCGACTCCGCCGTTCGATGAGCCGAGTGTCCGCTTGGAGGACAAGATTTGAATTGGCTTTGTATTCATACTGCAATGAACGTGCAGCAGCATCTGCCATTGTGCACTACTTCTTGAAAAACTTACTCTAACTCAAGTATCACTCTGCCATCTTCAATCACAAATGACCTGCAAAGATGAAAGCATATGCATTATTAATCAATGCCATTATCACCAAGTCCTTATAAATGAAACATTGCCTCTTCCTGTAATTCTAAACACAACCATCAGCACCGCTCATCATAAGATGAAGCACATTACCATCCAACTCTTAGTATTACGTTGGAAATTGGCATAAACATGGCCCACAGGTTATATATCCCCCAATGTCTATATATTTTCACTTAACCCAAAAATCTACTAAATGTTTACAAATCTATTTGTATTTTAAATTATGTTTAAATTATTTGTATACTACTTAAATCACATTTTATACTTAATGTCTACAGATTATTACTTAGGGACTGATGACAGATGACTACTTCCAGGGCCATTTACCTTTATTCCATCAACAGAAACAACCATCCAGTATGTCTTTCAGGATTTTTGTGGGGAATGAAAGCATGTAGGTTGTTTTTCAAAGCTATTTAAAACTGCACAATAGTTATGAGAAAAGCATGTTATTCCAATAACCTTACTCATTCATGGAATGTTCTTCCATGATACATCTTAATCTGGGCCACATAATGGTATTCCATTAAGTTACAATAAATGGAGTAAAAAATATCAATATATATAATAAACATTAAATTTAGCAAAAAAAATTTCAGAATCAACTTTTTCATGTTGCAAAATATTGGAGTTATCAGGAAGTGCAGATGTTCGTCAAATGCTTAGGTCAAGTAGAATTTGCTAGTGTCACCAAGAGGTTAGTTTTTTTAATCTGTAGATGCAGTGAATGTAATCAACTACATTTGACCAATTATTGGCATCTGCTGATATTGAGTGCATTGGATATATTGGACACCTAAGGTATGCCAAATGCACATGTATTTAGAGTGATGGATAGACACTTATCTTTCTAATGTAAAAAAAAAAAAGACAGCACTAAATGTAAGCTTTATTTCCTCTTGAACTTGAGCAAGAGGATGGTCACAAAGCACTTCCCCCATCCCATCATGCATGCAGTCAGCACCTCTGTGCTGCTCCCAGTATGCGCATGTGTAAGATGTTATGCTTCTCCCGTATCTATGTTCACGAGCCTTCATTGCCCCCTAATGGCATTCCCTTATCGGAGGGTTGTGATTTTATTTTCTGTGATTATGAATCTTTGAGGATCAGCATTAGACTTTTCAAAATCTCTTCTATAACTTAGGGGATCTCTTGCTTTTTGTGATTTCCACAAATCTATAACTACAACAAACAAGAAAGTCCTCATGATGCAAATTATGTGTTTATGAATATCTTCAATGGAATAAATTCTCAGGGCTTGAATATGTGGAAATAAATATTGGTATTGGTTTTCTTTCAATTCTGGAGTATCAGTATATCTGATATCAGAGCTGACATCAGTATATCTGATGTCAGCTAAATTTCATCATCATTGCATCTGTAGTCAAATCATTAGGAAGCAGGCAATTTTATAATTACATGATAATTTTATAATTACACTGAACACCATCTATCACAAAGATCAATGAATAAACTTGTATAATTACATTCATATAATATATTTACACTTACAGAGTGAATTATGTTCACATCAAATCACAGCAACATGCATTCAAGGTTCCACAGGCATGGTCAGAAGCAACAGAAGGGAATTACATATTTTTGGTTAGAGAAAGAGAACCATATTGGCCAGTTAGAGTCGCATCTCAGATGCCCTGGTCCTCACATCTACACTTACGTCAAGGTGCAGGCTTACTAATCACTTTACCCTTAATGAAGCTGTTTTGCATTTCCTGTAGCCTGTGAAAGTGTATCTTTTACTCAAAAGAACTGACTGCAGTTTAGATTATTCTAACAAAAGCTGTACACAGACTTCTAGAAGATCCCAAACTACCACTCTATAAAAGCAGCTATGCTACTACTCTTCTTAAATGTGTCCCAAGTAAGCTTAAGTCTTTTTCCCTTTCCTATTCATTCTTTCATCAAACAGGCACACCTTTGCTTTAACTTTGATGATGCACAACTTTCAAAAAGAGGATCAACATTACCAGTGGTGTAACAAGGAGGAAGTGGTAGGCTGAGGCCCCTCCAAGATTGATTTTAGCCCCTTCAACTCGGGTAAAAGTGCACCACCCAAAATTCTCTCTCCTCCTATACCCCCCAGGCCAAGGAGAACTTAGGGGAAATTTCAGCCCCTAAGGCAAGACCCCAGTTATGCCATGCATGTGCATTCTTATACCTTACCCTTCAAAGTTTTCATTACGAGTCTGAACGGTGCCCCAGAATTCCCATTATAGCACCATGGCATCCAAACTACTCTTTTTGTACTTTCCTTCGAAAAATCGTGTCACCCTTTCACAAGCCAAGGGGTCCTAGACAACATTAAGATCTAATCTGAATTTTCACTGGGTCAGCATCGTAGCCTAATGCTTGGCGCAGTGAGTAAACCTAAGATGAAACAGAGCACCAAGATACAATAAGCTCTCAAGATCAATGGATGCACCCGATATCCAAGACTTCATCTAACACATGCAACCTCTACCCGAGATACTAAATTTCCACCAGGGATACGCTACCGAGGTTTCGCCGTCTAACTACGAGGGTTCTTTACCGCCCCAAGTCAAAGAAGCTGCGTGCTCAGGGGTTTCGTCTATCAAGAAAAACCAGGCTTGCACAATGAAACAAAACTGTGGACTTAGTTTCAGAGCAGGTTCCTCGATAGGAGTAGAGCAGGTAACAAACGGCACCACCTTCCTCCCGAACGAAACCTCACGCTAGGCCTGCCATAGCTTTCGACCAAATTTTGTTCAAACGAAACAGACTATTGTAATGCGCTAGCCAGTGAAAACAGTCGAACTTAGTGCACTATAGACCTTACAGCAAGACACCTCGGATCAACGCCGGAGCGACGATTTCTGCACGCACGCCGTACGGGCAACTAGCGGCACGCCATGTTGTGCCCACGGATGACGTTCCCCCCATACTGGCTCGTCATTGGCCAGCTTCGTCCATGCTCTTCCCTAACGTCGTAGCTCCGGCCCAACGTCATTCACCCGCCCTTGCGCTCGCAATCGGCCCTGGATGCCGCCGCATGCCGGTCGCTTCTGTGTCGGGGGCGGCGTTAGTCTTCTTGCTGTGTTGGACGCACCGTTTTCGTCTTGCCACCGACGTTAGCGATGTTCGTCTCGGTTGTGGTTGGTTGGGGGATCGCATGGTAACGCCGGTGCAATTACTTTTCATCCGAGCTCGCCCTTCCTGCCGTTCAGAAATGTTTCCTGTCAAGATTCATAAAGTCCGTGTCATTTCTCGAGGTTGATCGAGAAAGTAGAGAAAACAGCGATAATATCAGAACTTACACATCAAGGAAAGGATTGATAAGGATCACCGCAGACACAGCAGAAGGAGAACCGACTTCGAGATTTCCGGAGCCCGCCAACGACTACGACGCCAATTACGACCGCCGCAATCACCATCGGTGCAAGAAATTTCCCGGTTTTCACCAAACCGAGTCGCAGCCCGTCCGCGATCGTCGCAGGGCGACCGACGGCACCAAATATCTGGGGAATCTGCCGCTGCATAAGGAGCCCTATCGGTTCGCGGAGCGGATGCGATGTGATCACTTACTGCAAGGGAACTCGAGCACGATCGGAGAACAGATGGACTCTACGGCAGAGGCGACACACGACTCCATTAGTGCCAAAGAAGCCAGTATAGAACAATCTTAGTGGAGGAGGAAGAGGAAGGAGCTGCCCTGCGAACCCTCCGAGCGACGACTGCTGGAATACCAAGCAACCATGGGTCCAATGGGCGTAAACAAGTGCTCGACCGGTAGGAGGCAGACCTTATTTCCAGGGGGGAGGGGGAGGGGGAGGAAGGTCATTCCAAAGGCTGTTTTTTGATGGGGGTGTCAAGGATCCGAAAAAAAGCGTCGCCTGAATCGCAGACGGAAAACACGACCTGGAGGGAGGCGACCCTGGGGACTGACTCACATCGTTCATGGATGTCTTCATGGATGTCGTCATGGATCTGTTACGCGTCTGATGAAAGGACACGTTAACATCCCTTGCCATCCCAGGCATTCCCCACCCAAAACTCGAAAATCCCACGCGACGATCGAAGAGGGTAAGGCATCAACTTGAAAGGGTAATTCATGCTTTTTTTTTTCCTCTTCGAGAGGAACTGAAGGCGAATGGAGCGCCTCAAGTCATTCTTTTCCTATCCTATGCAAATTAGAACTAAACATGGAAAAGATGCAAGGTATCGTCATGAAAAGCGACTCATCCAGCTCCCAAACGAAGAGACAGCCCTGCGAGGTCTTGTCATCGCGGAGCGTCCGAGTCAGGGAAATTCGGACGCGCACCGAGAGAATCAGAAACCCAAGCTCAAGCAACAAGGTCACAGCAGCAAGAATTAAAAACGAAACGGAAGCGAGAGAAACCTCAAGGCTCATTCGACCCTTCCAGGAAAGGGCTCATTCGACCCTTCGAGGACAGGGCTCATTCGACCCTTCGAGGACAGGGCTCATTCGACCCTTTCAGGAAAGGGCTCATTCGACCCTTCGAGGACGAGAGAGGAACTAGTCGCGAAAGGCACGGCCGGAATCATTTGTTTTCACGACGGCCGTGACCATGACGGCCGTCACCAAGGCCACCCACGGGTGCATCGAGGACATCCTCGATCATGACTGGGATAGGGGAAAGCGGCTCCCTTGGAATTCGTCGTTGAAAAACTCGTTCGGGAAGTTTCGATTCCATTAATGATTTACGATAATGGTACATTTTTATTTAGTGAAGGGCATCGGGATCGGCAATTTGCTGAATAATTTTTTTAATTGAATTAATTTGCCGATTCATACTGGTACGCAAAAAAAAATATGGTAAAATATGCAAAATTATTTTCTATTGGTGGCAGTTGACAATTTGACAACAAAAAAAAAAGGCTTACAGCCTC